AATATGAGACTCATTCCAGCAACTAACGCATTATCAAGCATTTGGAGGTGTTCATCTCCCCGACCTCACGGTCATCACCCCTGTGTTTGACTCTGATGGAAAAGATATAATATTTTGGGCTGCTTCGCGGGGTCATCACGCCGACGTAAGTTCTCTTTATGCTCTGGTTGATCTTTAGACTAACACACCGTCCGCAGGTTGGAGGCATACTTCCTGGCTCAATGCCGCCCCTGTCCAAGCTTCTATCTGAAGAGGGTGCAGTCTTTGATTCATATCTGCTAGTGCGCGCTGGTAATTTCGATGAGGAAAGGCTGCATCGAATGCTGTGCGTAGAACCTGCGCGTTTCCCAGGCTCCAGCGGATCCCGATGCTTCCAGGATAATGTCACCGATTTGAAAGCGCAGGTTGCTGCTAACCACTGTGGCATTCGTCTCGTGCGGCAACTGATCGAGGAATATTCTATGGACGTGGTTCAGGTAATTAGAAGTGATAACGGAAAGATACGAAGACCATTAGGCTAACTAAAATAGATGTACATGCGCGCAATTCAAGACTCAGCTGAGCTCGCGGTGCGAAATCTTTTGAAGCGTCTTGCCCATGATCACAATGGGGAAGAGATATCCGCGGTCGACTACATGGACGACGGTACCCCGATCATGCTCAAAGTAACCATTAATCCATCCGATGGTTCCGCCATCTTTGACTTCACAGGAACGGGTCCAGAGGTTTATGGTACGTCCATCGTGTGATAGTTCATCATGGGACAATGACTGACTGACTGTAGGAAACTGGAATGCGCCAATTGCGATCTGCAACTCGGCAGTCATCTTTGCCTTGCGTTGTATGGTTAACTCCGACATTCCCCTCAACCAGGGCTGCATCAAACCTGTGCAGCTTATCATCCCCGACAGGTCACTGTTGCGGCCGAGCTTCGAAGCTGCAGTGTGCGCGGGTAACGTATTGACCTCACAACGGATCGTCGACGTCATTGTTAAGAGCTTCAAGATCTGCGCTGCTAGTCAAGGATGCATGAATAATTTCACATTCGGCAATGACGGCGAGAATGGGTTCGGATACTATGAAACTATCGCTGGCGGGAGTGGTGGAGGCCCCGGCTGGGTTGGTACAAGCGGCGTGCATACCAACATGACCAACACGCGCATTACCGACCCCGAATCACTAGAACGACGTTATCCGGTGATTCTCCGTCGTTTCAGCCTTCGCGAAGGGAGTGGCGGCAGCGGAATGTATCCTGGAGGAGAAGGCGTTATCAGAGATGTAGAGCTGCGGCTACCGATGTCTGTGTCCATTCTTTCCGAACGCCGGAGCTTTGCGCCTTACGGTATGGCAGGCGGCGCTGATGGCAAGCGCGGAAAGAACACATGGATCACTAAGGCTGGTCGACATATCTCTGTTGGTGGCAAAAATTCGATCCGCGTCCAGCCTGGGGACCGGTTCGTCATGGAAACACCTGGTGGTGGAGGATATGGAGTCCTTGGAGAGCCCAAGAAATCAAGAGTGGATCAGTCAACGGTCATGCCGTCGTTTGTTCCTATCGCCAACGGTAGTGTGGCCGCCAACCGGAGTTTGGCAGAGGAGGTATAGGAGTATACCGTATGTACTTGGATATTCTGTTTGTTTCTCTTAAATGTATTACCCTTCCATGTCCGGAAAAGGAATATTCGATATTTATGAAAAGAGTTCGGTTCCAGTTACTTAAGAAATCGGTAATATGCAATAAACCAATTGAAGGTCAAACCCCTACATAGTAGGAAGCCTCCTAGTTCAACAATAATCCGTGAGATTTGCCATGCATGTCCAAATCTGAGTAGTTGATGCTTTTACCAGTAGACCATAAAAAAGCCAGGGCCTAGGGGAGCCATATTCCTAGTTCGGCACATCTCCATGAGCGACTTACTCTGCAGAAACTTAAACCCTTTTCTTTTGCATATTAGAATTGATTCATATTTTTTAAGAAAGAGCGACAAAATGAGACAATAAATTCATGTGAAGGACAAATGGGACAGGTCCTGTTTTCTAGGTACACGTAGGTAGTAGATATCTTATCAATATCCCATAACCCCAAGTCCTATCACGGTACAGCCTTAGTAAATAGTTACCAATATTCAACTTTGCTTGCTCAAGCTTAGTTGGGAGAGACTCGTATGAGGCATACCAAAGATATCATGATCTTTGTTCAAGCGTAGAGAATCACAGTACATATCGAAAGGCTGGCTGCTCAAAATCCGTCAAATCCAGGAATTCAGAACCAGGGGTAGCATGTGCGATATCAGGATCCTCGGTTGCCTTGTGGTCTCGTCTCTTGTTCTCCAGGATGTTGATCACCCGAATTGCTGCCAAGGTGACCGCTGCCAGAGCATACATGAGGGCAACCATCAACTTTCCATCGAAATATTCGGGCGATTGGGTTGAGCGGAAAGTTTGAGGACCGATCCAGTTCCCGGCTGCGTAGGCCACAATCTGAAGACCATTCACTGTTGCTTTCTTAGTATACCCTAGGGTGTTGTTGGAAATCATCACCATAATGAGACACCAGGCAGTCCCAGCAGCACCAATGAAGTAATATCCTATTAGCAAGCCGGCTTTGGCATGAACGGGGATCACAATCATCATGATCCCGCCGATCATGGGGATCAGGATGGCGATTATGGCAAAGAGGGTGCGATCAAAGAATCGATCAGAGAGATATGTCAATCCCAGTTTACAAATAATATCCACGAGCCCCATTGGCATGTTCAAAATCAGGGACATTCGACTGGAGAATCCAAAGGAGCTGATTATGATAGAGCCAAAGGTCGTGATTCCCCCGTTGGGGATGTTCATCAGCAGCGAGAATAGGGCGTAGAGATATGTGCGTGGGTCGCGGAATGCTTCGAAAAATTGGGGCCATTTCCATGTTTGATTGCCGATTCCTTGGAAGTTGCCCCGAATCCGATCAATGGCAATAAGCTTCTCGTGGTGGTTCAAGAACCGGGCCTGGACTTGATTGTCGGGCATGTACCACAAATATAATACACCTGTTAGGACAGTGGGAAGGCCAAATACTAAGAAGAGGATTTTCCAGACAGCGATAGAAGTGCCGTGTACACCCGCTAGGCCGTATGCAATGGGCCCAATAAGCAGCTGGGCCAATCCGTTACAACTGAGCCAAAGGCCCATGCGTCTGGCTTGTTCCTCTTGTTTATACCAGCAAGAAGTGAACAAGACAAAGGCTGGCGTAACTGTTGCCTCAAATGCGCCTAGAAAGAAACGAACACACAGTAGGCTCGCATAGTTATGAGTGACTGCGTGGCAGACGAGTGCGATGCCCCAGAGCACGATATTGGCTGAGGCGTATTTGCCCAGAGGGAAGCGGCGAAGCAGATACGTGGTGGGGAATCTAGGCTTATGCATTAACAACCTGTAGGAGATAGCAGCAGGAGAACAGACTTACTCCCAAAAGATATATCCAGCATAGAAAATACTCGAGACCCAACTATATTGCTGCGAGTCGGGGTCCAAATGAGTGTCTTCCCGAATGCCCATGAGTGAGGCATAATTCAATGATGTTTTGTCGGCAAACTGAATCAAATAGACCCAACAGAGCAAGGGCATGAGTACTCGATCGATTTTGGATAAAACCTTCTTAGCCTCATCGGGGGTATATTCAATCTCCTCTGCGTTCATGAATTGGAGAGCAGGATCAAGGTCCCGGATGTCACGCTGCTTCAGGTCTCCATCCTGAATGTCCATAACTGCTTGCTCCGTATCACGCTTTGGTGGAACCTCAGACAGCTTCATATCGTTTGACACTGTCATGTTGTCTCAGTTGATGCCAGAGACTCGAATGCCAGAATCATGAAGCCATGACTTCCTCTTTAAATCCCCCTCGTTTGATATTGGGTTATCGGAAAGGCTGTTTGACAGCCTATGGGGAAGTTGGCCAAGCTTCAAGCTGTACCCCGGAATCTTGGGGGTGGACATTTGCTGGTGGAGCTCCATTTTGAGCCGGGGGCATGTGGATTGGCTTACCAGCTTATCAGCTTATCACAAGATTAGGGTTGTTGGGTCCACGACCATGTCCACCAGGGCAGGCGATGGGTCCGATGTAGATAGCAATTTGATGGACATTGGGATTACCTATCTGACTCAATTATGTTTTCATTCTGATACCTGCCATAGTCCAAAAAAAACCGTCTTATCGCTTGACTGTCTGATTTATGCATTCCGCAATATACCGAACATTGGACCCGTTCAGCCGAGCCCTAGGATCGGGGAATATTAATGGCTCGAGTCCTTGATTTTCTCTTTTGTCTATCGCACCGCGGGCAGGATCCAAGTATTGCCATTTTCATCTTTGCTTTTGTATGTTCCTTTCCCAAGATTCACTTTGCGCGCAACTGGATTCGCATTGTATGATTCGGTGAGCTCGTCCGGAGGCGTTAGGCATAGTTCACAAGCTCGAAAAATGAGGGAGAAACAGAGCCCATGATGCCGGCAAGTGGAAAGTGATTTTGAAAGTGAGTAGAAGAAATACGACAGAAGAGAGAGAGTAGCAAAAATCAATGGAGTTGGTTATATTAATCTTGGTTTTGTTATGTGCCTGTCAATAGTAGCGGAGCCCGGCAATGGAGTGGAGGGCATGGTGGAGCTCCATCGACAATGCCGATGAATAGGACAACTGGGAGCGATAAATAGCAATCAGGCGCTTTAGAGAAACTGTTGGGACAGAATACCTAGATTCTTTGTTTATCAGACGTCCACCCGCTATATATGCAGCTAGCTTCTTTTTATTTGGAGACAATACAGAATCTTCTGTTAACCTCAATCACAAGGTGCCTCATGTGGATTCTAGAGCTTAACGCTCTTAATAGCTGGTTCACGTGCGAGACAACATACAGAGCCTAACAAAAAGGAGAGGGGGCACGTCATGAAGAGCCGAGTGAATCTTGTATCAATATTCAACATAAGAACCTTCTATTTAGTTAAGAACAAAAGACTCAGTTTCCCTGGCGACTGTTTTTGCTCCAGAAAGATAGACCCACTTCCATTCGCGCTGTTCCATAAATGGCTGAACTATCCAAACACTCACCAGCATATTCTCGCGCTGAAGTAAGACGATTTGATGCAGTTTCGAGCGTTGGAAGACGAGCTGAATGACTGGCAGCGATGGAGAGAGCGTGCTTCATGTCTTTGCTTGCAAGGGCTGCTGCAAACCCAGGAGACGTGTCCAGCGGCGGTGCATACGCGCCAGTAGTAATGCGTTTTGAGTAACTTTCGAGCACGGGACCAAACATATTGCCAATAAATTTCTCCAACTGTTGATTGCCGATCCCTGTCACTTCGGCAAATACTTGTGCTTCGGCAATCACTTCCATGAAGCTGATAACGAGGACATTCCTGGAAAGAAAGGAGTGGTTAGTTCAATGTTGATGATCGTTTCAAATATTCCATAGATTCCCACCCTGATATTTTTAGAAGGCTGGACTTTTGCACATCTTCCCCCATATCAATGACGCTGCGTCCCATGGCCATGATAAAAGGTTTGATTGCCTCAACCGCCCCAGTAGGTCCGGCTACCGCGAAGATCAGCTTCCCAACGGCTGCCATGGAGCTAGCACCAAACACTGGAGCAGCTATGAATGCTGCCCCGTATTCACCGAGGCGCAAGGTGGCCCATTTTGACGTGTCTGGATGAATAGTAGAAGTGTCTACAAAAGTTTTGCTTTTCAATGAATTGCCCGTGACCAGGGCCTTATTAAATAGTTCAATGAGGACAGCGTCAGTGGAGATCTATTTTTCTTCATCAATACAGCGTGCATCGTTATGACAGGCAAATGCCCTACCATAGTAAAAATTATATCCGAATTTCGGACGAGACCTTCAAAATTATCTTCAGGTATGGCACCTTCACCGCGAAGAAGATCACCCTTTGACAAACTGCGATTGCTGTAACGAAGTGGGGACAAATTGTTGCTCTGAAGATGTTTTTGGAGATTGACGGACATTCCTAACCCCATCGATCCGAGGCCATACTACTCCCGGTCAGCAAATGGGCAATCAAATAAGGGTTTTATGACCTACCCAGCCAACTCTCAGTGTGGACGACGTCATTATCTTTAGATTGAAGCTCGATTTGAAAGCTTTGCAAAAGCCTTTTGGCTTGTTCGCGCGTTTTATAAACGAATTGCAGCCAAGGTTGGCCTAACTGAAAAGGGCCGGGGAACATGTGGAGCTCCACCTGTCCACTTGGTGTACCCACCGTCCACTCACTCTGATAACAAGCTTGAACCTTCAATGCTGAACCCCGCAACGGCTTTACTCGGCCCCAGTACCTGGGATTTCGCCCAACACAGCCAGCATGGAAGGCCCGATCCCCCATAGGGATCTTCGCTGGCAGAAAGCTTTGATTAAATTGACAAATAGTGACTCGCCTTCATCGAGCAGACTAACGAAAGCCTCTCGGTTCATGGTCCATAAGCGGGGGTCTCGGGTCACATCGTTATCTGCGGGGAAATGGAGAAGAGCGGACTCCATGAGGGTGTTGAAGATCAACATGCAGGATTCAGAGATCCTGGGGAGTTCGTTGAAAGTGTCCAAGTGGTGACGGATATCGGTGCTTGCGCGTTTGAGCGCCCCCCCAGATACATAGTAAAACACCGTAACTGGCCACTGTGACCCAGGGGGCTTCGCGGGCCACTTTATCCTGCTCTTCTCCGGAGATGGTAGATAGTGCCCCAGATAAATCATTCAGAAGAGCCACAATTCCCTCATCACCACCGACGTGGCGAGGAATAAGAGGTGCTGATCGCCGAATCGCGACAAGGTTCCCTTGGGTCAGATGAGTGGAAGCAGCCATCCCAGCTATCAAGCTGTTATCCACAATACCTGCTATTAAGAGCTGATCAGGGCGACATAGACTGATCTTGATAGTAGAGATGAAGAGCTCGTTCGTTCTCCATAGGAGAAACTGGGGGCTGTCACCGGTGTAAGCCTGCTTCTTAACAATCTTCGTGATTGCTTCTATTGCCGTGTGCACTTGTTTATTCTGACCCTGGGTCAGTATATGGAACGGATTCGGATCGGACGGACTTGGTGGCATTTGATAGTAACACCGCGTAAAGTCCCGCACAAGAGCACCCATATTCGTCAGAACGCAAAATGCGGCAAAGGGGGATGCTTCTAGGGCTGCTAAAAGTTGTTGGTCCGGTGTTTCGGTCATGAGTTGCTGAGTAGCAATTGTCAGAGAGGCCGTCCCTAGGCCGCGTGGTCCGTGTAACAGACTATTGGCTGTTGTAAAAGTCGAAAGTCCAAAGTTCTCGTTGAACCTCAGAAGCCATATCTGAGAGTTTTTGGCTTCCCACAGATTGATAGGGAAGGGAAGTTCCCAGCCAAGTTCCATCGATGACATCAAAGGCCGAGAATTGCAAGGCGAAAACGTGTGTGAATCTAAGAAGACAAGTGTATACAGCGATAGTCTCATCGATTCGGTGGTAATATAGGACGTCCACCGCGTATAGAGAGTTTGCGAATCATCTCCAGGTGAATTGAAATCAAGTTGGTACATCCAAGACTGGGCATCTGGCATAGCGATACCCTGTTGGGACAGGCCAATTTCGTGTACAGCCTATGTCAAAAATAAGCCTAGGTAAAGGAGGGGGGAAGGGGGGAGCGGATATTGTAGAAGAAGACAATACAGACATCAACAAGTTGCCGCAGCATCTTTTTCACGGTCTGGAATTGTCCTGCTTCGCTTGCGTATACCCCGTAGATTATATAGAGAAGCCACGCTTGTATGACCCAGGGCTGTCTGATCACACTGCAATTCGAGGAAACCTATTTCAGCATTGATTAGAACGTCTTTTTCAAAGGACGCCATAGTAAGCTCTCATCATATACCATGTGCCGAAGTTCTCCCTGTCCACTTTGCCATATATCTTGACGCCAGTGTGCGAGGGCCTGGGTTTCCTCATGGTCATACAAGTTGGGAGAAAATAAGCTCCCAATGACAGTGACGGCCTTTCGCAGCAACTTCGGCGTCGAGGATACAATGAATGTAGGTCGATGCAACAGAGGGAAAGACGGGTGAAAATTCTCAAAATACTGTTTGACATATGTTTCTTCGCTATTATCGTGGTTACTGTGGATCAAGTTTCCATTGTTAGACGTGTGATTGCAATCGATGAGCCCCCTTTATGTGGAACGGCATCGGGGGCATTTAACACAAATAGGCTCAAGGCAAACAAGCATACCTCGGCGAGGAAGAGGAAAAGCTCTGGGGTAATTCAGCAGCAAATGTACTATGCTCTTCCCAGAAAGCTTCGTCGGTCACAACACGTTCGGTTGGGTTGCGGGTGGTGGTCAAAGGTGACGGTATACCGACCATTGCCTGGGGGGTATGTATACCCTCCCACGGCACCTGCGGCTGAGATGTCTGGATTTGGGATCCTGTCGCACGGCAACGATCACCATGTCGTTTATATACGTCGCTGCAAAATTATCTGTGTTATTGCAATGCATGGCGGGTATGAAAATGGAGACAAGACCTTCGAGAGAATCGAGCATGGCATCTGCTACACTGGAAATTCTTCCGCGAAGCGCCACCGTGACCTTGTAGAGCATTAATATTTGATTTTCTATGAAGGAATATTCATGCAGACTTACGTGCACGCTTATGCCGCTGTAGGTTTTCCTGCGGCAGATCGGATCCGCGTGAGGACTAGGTAGAGAGGACAAGGAGCTGGGGGGGATACTTACACTCCGTGTAAACAGCTTTGGGCATTGATCACATGGAAATGGACGATGCTGGTCGATACCGCTCGTCATACCTGAGGTGCTAGTGTTTTGATTCATTTTGTTCATGTTGGTTCATTCTATGGGGGTTGGATACAGAGGGGGCTCGGGAAAGAGAGGGCCTTGACTACGGGCGCACGTGCCGTTATCTTCTCTTAGCTTCAGCCTTCGACGTTTGAACATTATATAGTTAGTTATAATATTCATTAATGTTCATGTTATAATATCGAAGATATATGGGATCTTTGTAGTATTAGGCTCTACATGAAATATATGAAATGGAAGTGAAAAGGCTTGGATCACCGAACATTATCAAGAACATATATATCTGTGGATATATATTCTCCGCTGGTCATATCAAAGTTACATATCCTCCTGTCCATCGTACCTGCCATCTCTTTCTATATTTTGTTACATTCAAATGTTCAAATAACAAGAATCTACTAGATCCCAAAAGGTTAAGTTGAAATACCCCGAGTGCCCAGGTGTAAGCACAACGTTGCAAGTGGACCCAGGCAGACTCCGATCCTTTCAACGTCACCTCTGAACCATTTACTTGCAACCCATGACCCCAAATACAAAGAATCAACAAACAAGTCATAATGGCTTTTTTGGATCTTCAAAAACAGGTTGGACAGGTAAATTATCCCTGGAACCCCTCTTTGGTGAATCTCTCACTGACGATCGCAGCTCTTCGCGGTGGGGTTCTATGGCTGCACCCCAAGCCCCGAAATCAAGACTTTGATCCATGATTACCACGTTGGAGCCATCATCCTCTTCTCGCGCAATATTGAGAGCGCAGAACAGCTTCAGGTGCGATATCCGAGGCTATATTGTCCTTGATTGGCTTAACAAACCTTCTCTAGGCCTTAACACTGGCTTTACAAAATGAAGCCAAACTGGCCGGACATGAGCGCCCACTGTTGATCGGAATTGATCAAGAGAATGGACTGGTCACTCGTATTTCTCCCCCGATCGCTGCTCAGGTACCAGGACCTATGGCACTTGGTGCCACCCATGACCCTGAGTGTGCCTACAGTGCGGGGAAAGCCACGGGGGAAACTTTGAGTTTCTTCGGGATTAACATGAACTATGCACCAGTCTGCGATATTAACTCAGAGCCCTTGAATCCAGTTATTGGTGTGCGCAGCCCTGGCGATGACCCTGAATTTGTGGGCCGGTTTGCGAGTGCGGCCGCGCGGGGTCTGCGGGAACAAAACGTTGTCCCTAGTGTAAAGCATTTTCCAGGTCATGGAGATACAGCCGTTGACTCGCATTACGGACTACCGGTCATTCCTAAGACAAGGGATCAACTGGAGCGCTGTGAGTTGATTCCGTTTAGGCGGGCTGTCGCTGAAGGGATCGAGACCGTCATGACTGCTCATATCTCGCTGCCCTGTATCGATCTCACGCGACCCGCAACACTTTCTCCGGATGTGATGGGAATTTTGCGCAAGGACATGGCCTATGATGGTATGATCATCACAGACTGTCTGGAGATGGATGGAATCCGCGCCACATACGGTACAGAGGAAGGCTCGGTGCTAGCATTGCGCGCTGGTAGCGATAGCATCATGATCTGTCATACCTTTGATGTGCAGGTGGCTTCGATCAAGAGAGTTTGCGAAGCAATAAAGTCCGGCACAATCGACCAATCGCGGCTGGCAGACGCTTGTCGCCATGTTGCTACGGTGAAGGACAAGTCTTTGAACTGGGACGCCGCTCTTCGGCAATCCAGTCTCGCCGACCTGAGCTCGCTGAACAATAGAATTGCCGAGACAACTATGGATATATATTCGCGGTCGACCACACTCGTTCGTGACAAGAATGGCGTACTCCCCCTGTCAAAGACTTCAATCATCATATTCCTCTTCCCCGGAGACAAGACCCCAGTCGGTGGTGCTGTAGACGGCGAGGGGACGGGGAAACCAGGACTATATCACTCCAACAGATATCTTGATGTGCTGCGGCAACACAACAACTCCATTGCTGAGATCAGATACGGAGAGACCGGTCTGACTTCGGAGCAATGGCGAACACTTGAAGTCGCCGATGTGGTGATTTTCACATCACTTAATGCAAGAGAGTCGCCGTACCAGGAGTCCCTGGGCCTGGAGCTTGCTGAACGTGTTCAATCATTGGTGCATATTGCCGCCTGCAACCCTTATGACTTCCTTGATGCTCCTAATGTCAAGACCTATATTACCACATACGAGCCGACTATCGAGGCATTCTCTGTGGCTGCCGATATCATGTTTGGAGCGTTGGTCCCGACAGGCGCTCTTCCCGTGGGAACAAATGCTTTGGGAAAGACCTCCGCAGCAGTAACACCATTTGACGCACAAAGAGATCTGGATGAGGTGGTCGAAGTTTGGGCCGCTGCTCTCCCGACCTACCTCGTCCCCACTAAAAGTTTGCGGTCTATGATAGTACGTCCGTATGGCCACCATTTCGTCGCGCGCATTGGATCGCAGCTAGTAGGCTTCTGTCTTGCTTATACAAATGCCGGCGGTGCACCAGACACCGTGTATATCTCAGTTCTTGCCGTGTCACCAAAGTACCAACACCAAGGCGTTGGAATTGCCCTGCTGGAAGAAACGAGAGCATACTTCCGGGCAACGTTTGGCTTCAATAGCGTGAAATTGGGCAGCTCATTCCCCCGCTTTTGGCCTGGTATTCCCCGGGACCTTCCAGAAACGGTGCAGCATTTCTTTACTCATCGTGGTTTCCGACTCAGTCCTCCAAGTGCCCGAGCCGTTGACTTGTACCAAGATATTCGGAACTTCCAGTCTCCAGAGAAGTATATCACTCGTTCTCGGGAACGAGGTTTCCGCTTCGCGCCATTGAAATCCGAAGATTACGAGGCCTGCCTGGCTGGTCAAAGAAAGAATTTCTCTGAGAACGGGGTAAGATTCTTGTTATCCTCACGCTTATACTTTATTAAAATCTATACTAATGTGTTACAAAGAGCTGGGTGGGGGCATACGTCGCATTACACCCTGACAAGTATCCCGACAGTGTGATGGTAGCATTCGACTCCCAAGGCCAGCAAGTTGGCTGGACGTTGATGCTTGGTCCATCAGACGCTCTGAACGAGTCCTGGGCATTCCCCCAAGCCTGTGGTCCGAACACAGGACTGATTGGTGCTGTGGGAATTGATGAATCCCACCGCAAGTATGGCATTGGGTTAGCATTGATCTGCCATGCTATTGAAAACATGAAACAACGGGGTATTGAAGGCGTCTTTGTAGACTGGGTTGCACTCGATGGGTGGTATGAGCAGGTTGGTTTTGAGACTTGGCGGAGCTACAAACCCGGAGAGCTTTGAGTATTTCATAGTTATCGGCTCTTCATTTATTATTACGAGTTTAGTTCTTATCGCTAGAAGCATTGATGTAACTAATTGGCCTTTGAAATAGGATTACCGTTCTTCAATGAACCTTATCATAGTTATTGTTGCCAGAGCTTGAGTCTTTTCCTTTTTGAATTTGTTTTCGGTTCCTGTCATCAGAACCCCAATATATCACCATCAATGCTGGTCAGAAGTTGTCATGGCATCAATCTTGACCCGCAAATTCCGGAAGATTTCAGCCTTCTGCTCAGAAGTCCTATTGGAATGGGGAACATCTACCCCCTTTTGAACAGCAGCACGCATATCAATCTCCTCGACCCACTTCTTCAAAGCGAGGAACTCAGACAGGTAGATCTCCAAGGAAACAAGAGCACCACGAGCCCAAGAGAAACTCGCAATATCGGCAATTGTATACTTCTCACCCGTCAGGCAAGGACTTTCCTTCAGCCGCGACTCGAGAACCGAGTAGAGACGCCTCGTCTCATTGATATACCGCTGAATAGCGTAATCACAGCCCGTATTGGCGAAGAGACGGAAATGGTTCGCTTGTCCTGTTTGGTATTAGAGAGAGTTCAAATCACACATGGAGCTTCAAAGCCAACAGTATTGAATCGATACTTCTTTGGCCATAATTGATTAAGCTTTTAGCCCCCTGTATAGGAACTATCGACTCCCATGGGAGCATGTTACTGTCGTTTTCTTTGTTTGAACCAAGGCAACACTACCATCAAGAAAAAGCAATTTAGTTGCCAGCTTGTCCCCATTCAAAGTTAGATAATATGCCGTTGTTTTCAAGCACTATCACCTTATCTTTTTATAACCGCATCAACCTCCCTTGGTATTTCGGTACAACATCTCATAATTGCTATAAGTCTCCGATGACTCCAGATGAATGGTAGACATATTTCTATATTTTTGCTTTGCCCCTTGCAGCAAGGCACACACCATGTGAATTGACCATGTAAATTGCTCGGCGGTTTAAGAGTCACCACATGGTAGGGTGTGCAGGCACCCGCAAGGGCGATCCCTGTCTGGAAGGACCAATGCTCGTCCATACGGAGTAGCATAGCTCAGAATCTAGTATGGCAGATGGTACCAGGATTGGACGTTTGATCGGCAATGTTACCATGCTATTCTTCTCACTAAGAGCTAGTTTAAGAATTGCCTCATAGAATAACCTAACACACAAGGGGCACTCTGCATCTGACATGTCAATTACATACTACTTTTCTAGGCGCAGGGCAAGCCGAAAATGGAACAAAGGTAATTAACTCCAAGGGATATGATCTCAGTATTCTTTCGCAAATTGTGTCATGACTCAGGGCGTTGAGAGGTTACAAAAGCATCTCCAAATATTTCCCCAAGGGATGAACACATTCGGGTAGAAAGTTGTCGATCCCCACATGGCCAGCCACGAGCACTTTAGCGTTGCAACCCCCAGACACGGCCCGCTCGAGCCTCGAGAACCGTGTCGCCGGAGACGGTCACCGTCCTCTTTCTGAGGTTGATGAGTGATGAGTGATGATGCGATCATCTTTTAATGTGCTTGAATCCGATCAGTACTTCCGCCACATTCCAAGAAACACACGTTGGATTTGGTTTGACTTGGCAAGATAATCATCCAGCTGGAATAATTACCAGGTCTAGGGTTACTTTGTCTAACGCCACTAACGCCGATTGCGCTCTCGACTGGAGGTCTTACGGGGCACACGGCTTGTAGGACATAATTTTACCCGCAAAGATCGGGATTGAGTATCCTTGGATCAAAGGAAAGCCAACATGTCGCCCGATATTGTTCCACGGCTTTTACTACCGGATGGTTGGGGTCCGAGAGTAATTCATCCCCGAGGATTTGACTTTTTCCTATTCCGTACAAAGTCCTCCTTTTCGTACAACAGGATTACACTTAGCGTGAGACTTAGCCCTCGAGACCCCAGATGTAGTTTTCCCCGTGATTTGCCCCGGATTTCCACTTTTTTCTTCTACCTTTTTACCGAATTCGGAAAACGGTTCAATTTTATATGTTCGCTATAATAAAGATCATTTAGGTCATTTAGGTCTCGCTCAATGTGACTCCAAAGGATAAAATAAAGGTAAAATATATTAGCCTCGTGAAGCTACCGGAAACAAACTTGAGGGGCAGGGATTACCTTGATTTGAAGCTAATTCAACGCCAATAAATTGGCTGTTCCTTAGCCATATGCCTAAATTATTTTCGCCAAATCACAATTCTGGCCCCTGTCTAGAGGCGACTACGAATGTGGCGCTCGCCCAGAGGTGCTAATATCGAGAGCGGCGATCCTGATCCCTCACGACAATTTCTTTTCATATCTGAGTCTGACCGGAATTGTGGATAGGGTTATAGGACTTGATTGTATATAACATGGAGACAACGGCCCCATCATCAGTAGAAAATAAACCTGGGGCTTAACAGCAGAAGGCTTACTTTCATCTTGGACTTGAACAGTTTTAGACACGGATCCCGGTATAGAGAGAAAGATCCTAGAGGGGTTCTGTTCCAGGTGCAAGTAGCTGTACTTGGGCCGAGAGACTTGTTCATACTTGTTTCTAGTACTTGGCATTAGGGAAGGTAGCAGAGCAGTCTTGGTGTAGTATTTTGCCGAGACCAAGTCCTTCCACTTAAAACCGAAGGATTAGCGTAAGAGTGGAGTTTGAAGTTTCCCCATGGGCAATTCAACGCGGGCCCCCAGATTAAATCCGTTTCGGGAAGTAGATCAGAGGGGAGTCATGACAAAAGGCTGTCCTTTTTGGGATTTACTCATGAGCCTTGGGTATATTTTACTCTAGCCAATGAGATTGTATCTCTCTTGTCAAACGGACTGGTCTGGGAAAAGATTAGACACAGAATATAAAAAGGGTGTCCCTCCCCCAAGGTCATTAGCTACCATTCACAACTTTGTTTGTCTCTGAGGCCCATCAAACGAGCTACTGCGGTAATTAGAGTTGTTAGTTGGTTTTTCAACTCTTCCTCTCCATCCAACTTTTTCTTTTTTTCTTTTTTTCTTCTCTATCAGAAGAGGAGTCAAATTAGTCCACAGCCTCTGGTTTCTTGCTTGGTTGCTATTAACCGCTCGACCAGGCACCGGGCCCTCAAAATGGTTCAGGAGGCCATCACCCGGGTCGACTCTAGCGAGCGGTAAGATTTCCATCTTTCTTGTGCGCTTCGTAATGCTCATTCGATTATAGTTCCAGCAATGATCAAAACAGTGCCGAGAAGGGATACTTTGAGCAAGTTGACCTCCAGAACAATGTTTCAGCGAGGTAAGCTTCACTCGTTTGATTTCACGGTCATGTATTTTTTTTCCCCTCTCAGTTCACTAACATCGACCAGGATCAAGAACCCTTTGGCCAGCTTGACCAAGAATCAGGTTCTGCGCGACGTGGAAGAGTTTGCCGAGGAATACAACGTGACAGACATCCTATCCGAGTTGAAAAAAGGAGCGCTAGTTGCGCGTGATCCTACCGAATTTGAGACAGTGGCAGACTTGACTGAGCCTGAGCTTACTGCCCTGCATGACGAAGTGCTTCATAAATGGCGCCAGCCTAGATCACTTTACTTCACCATCATGCTGTGCTCTATTGGTGCAGCCGTGCAGTATGTTATTCCCCAATACGCCTTACGTACACCCCCTAACATTATTACAGAGGATGGGATCAGACTGGCTCCAATGGTGCTAACCTGTCATTCCCTGATGCTTTTGGTATATCAGACGATCCCAAAAAGAGCGCTCAGGCCGAGCTGAACCTATGGCTCATCGGTATCGTCAATGCTGCTCCCTACATCGCCAGTGCTTGCCTTGGATGCTGGCTCTCGGATCCATGTAATCGGATCCTGGGCCGCCGCGGTACAATCTTCATCTCGTCTATCTTTTGCGTCATTACCCCCATTGGCTCTGCAGTTGCCCAGAACTGGGTACAGTTGTTTGTGGTCCGTCTTCTCTTGGGTATTGGAATGGGTTTGAAGGCCTCGACAATTCCAATCTTTTGCGCTGAGAATACTCCTGCTGTTATCCGCGGTGGTCTGGTCATGTCCTGGCAGCTTTGGACCGCTTTTGGCATTTTCCTCGGATTTAGTGCCAACCTTGCTGTCAAGGATACTGGCAAAATATCCTGGCGTCTACAGCTCGGATCGGCCTTTATCCCGGCTATCCCTCTCCTTTTGGGGGTTTACTTCTGTCCAGAGTCACCTCGATGGTACATTCGACGTGGCGAGATGAGCAAGGCGTACCGGTCTCTGTGCCGTCTCCGTAACACGCCTTTGCAGGCTGCTCGCGACCTTTACTACATCCATGCCCAGATCAAGATTGAGATGGACTTAATTGGCGAGAGCAACTATGTCACCCGCTTCATTGAGCTGTTCACTATCCCTCGTGTCCGTCGTGCCACTCTTGCTTCGTTCGTTGTCATGATCGCCCAGCAGATGTGTGGTATCAACATTGTTGCTTTTTACTCGTCGACTGTCTTTAAAAACGCCGGTGCAAATGATACACAGGCTTTGTTTGCCTCCTGGGGATTTGGGTTGGTTAACTTTGTGTTCGCTTTCCCTGCCATCTGGACCATCGATACATATGGCCGCCGGACTCTTCTTTTGTTCACTTTCCCGCAGATGGCATGGACTTTGCTTGGGGCTGCTTTCTGCTTCTGGACTCCCCGAGGGTACGGGTCACCTGGCTTCAATCGCTTTCTTCGTGTTCCTGTTCGCTGCATTCTATTCGCCCGGTGAAGGACCCGTGCCGTTCACTTATTCGGCGGAGGTATTCCCTCTGTCCCATCGTGGTATGTTTTTTTTTTTTTTTTTTTTTTTTTTTTCACTCTCAGTTTCAGTTTCTCCTTTTCTCTTGATATAGTTTCTGGGACTAACATTGATATCAGAGGTTGGCATGTCCTGGGCTGTGGCAACCTGTCTAGGTTGGGCTGCCGTGCTTGGAATCACGTTCCCCAAAATGTTGAGTGCAATGACTGCCACTGGAGCATTTGGATTTTATGCGTAAGTCTTTCTACCGACATTACAGTTTTCTCATCAAGTTCTCTAACGATTGTATCTAGTGGGCTGAACGTGACTGCAATGGTCATGATTTTCCTTTGGGTTCCCGAAACCAAGCAACGCACTCTGGAAGAGCTGGATTATATCTTCGCAGTTCCTACTCGGGTGCACATGAAGTATCAAGTCACCAAAGCGCTACCATACTGGTTCAAGCGATACATTTTCCGCCAGAATGTTGAGCTGGAGCCTCTTTATCAGTTTGACCATATTGCGAGTGGTAATGAGGATAGTGTTGTTTCTGACCATGTTAAGTCGTAGATTTGTCTGGGCAACGTGTTTCTGGTTTTTTCTTTGGAATTCCTCAGGTCGTGGTATTTGTTTCCACGGGTGTTAGGACTATCAGACTGGGATTTGGCTTTGTCTTTCTTTGTCGTTCTTTGTCTTTGTCTTTCTTCTTTTTTAATTTTTAATTTTTATTATTTTTATTTGGAAATTGAGATGATGAATGACAGACTCACTATTGATTTTGGAAATAATGAGATTTATCCCAAGAACCACCTTTAGATATTCGAAGAGGGTATACCTAGGTAGTACTGGTGGTTATCTTATAGTAGGGAAAATGTGCTCCACAAGGTTTTCGCAGCATCCATGGTTGCTGGGGGATCAGCTAATGTGGAGAGATATGATCAGGACAAGTTCAATATTAGTAATATAATTAGTATATATAATAGTAAATAGGGGGAAATGATACTATTCACCAAGTAGAGTCATGGGATAAAGTACAAATGACTATAAATGAATCCAAATGGCCATAAATGTAGGCATGCTGTAGTCTATTATAGGCTTGATAGGTGTATCACGTGGGGGTTCGGGGGGATGGCAACGCTCATGTTTTGGTCCACTCCCGCCCCTCACCCTTTTCCCTTGAAAGAGAGCTCAGGTCTACCTCTCTTACTTTCATTCCTTCTATTCGCATTTCGATGTTGTGTGTGCCCACTTGAGCTCAGGAACCTCAGTGTCGTGTCTTTAGACCCAATCCTCAGGAAATCTAGGATCACCCCCCGTCATCGTGACCCTCATTTTTGAACTCCAGAAACAAACACACCAGCAGCTGCAGTGGAGCTCAAGGAACTGCTGTGGGCTGCTGGATGAGTCGAAACCCACTATCTTGACCGCCTCCCGCCTATAGCTTATTCTCTCAACACCCACGAGGGAACAAAAAAAAAAAACAAACTAAGAAAGAAGTTCACCTATTCTCAATTTGGTGTCACTTTTCTCGTGTTTTTGCCCGAAGTATTCCTTGTATTTAGTTGCGGGGCAGATCTGGCCCTGCGCCTTCGTTGGACTCTTCTCCCCACAGTGCAACATCCATATCCCACTTAACCCTTTCCCACCATGCCCTGCTTCAAAGGGCTTGCTGTGAGCATCCACACGCCCGATGGCCCGATCTCCGAATATTCCATTCAACGCCATTCTCGAGCTTCGCGCATAGGTTGTTTCATTCCTGTTCCTCCGCCCAAAATTCCCGAATCTGGGACCGGCAAAGCGGAACAATCAACCTTCGCCATTTCCGTCACCCTCCTGAACCCCGAGCAAGATGTTCCTTACTCGACCCCAAAGCCGACAGCAGACTGCCCCTCGCCGAAGCCAAAAGTCGTGGGCAAGTTGCCCGGTGAGCCAGGTCAAATCGCCGGGACGGTCGCACCATACCAAGGCTTGACAAACTCAGCGAACGAGACTGTGGCTGCATACATATACTTTGACGGAAGACAGAAGGAGGAGGTGGCTACACTACTGCGGCGAGGAGAAGAGACATGGGTGAATTCACGCTGGGTCAGCGTCCCAGATAGCGAAGGCGGGGGAATTGCCGAGCGCGAGTTCTTGTTCCGCGAGGTCGGTCTGGAGCGCTGGCTCAACGGATTGGACCTGGAAGGCAAGGATGCCGCAGCCAAGATTGAACGCAGGCGACAAAAGATGGAGAAACGACGTGCAAAGCGCGCCGCTGAGGAGGATCAAACTGCCATGGAAATGGAGGACAATCATCCTGCCAAGTCCAAGACCATTATGCGTTACGGGAATGATGAGAAGTCGCCCCTCGAGGATGTTTCAGACGACGACCTCTCCTCCGACTCTAACGACGATGATCCAATTCCCGAGACAGCGGGCCAGATTAAGGTTGCTTTGTTCCGAGTTCTGGCGTCAGGAGAAATCAAGCGGGGCGAGTACTCCCCGCAGTTTGATGCACACGACGATGAGGAGGGTGGTCAGGATAACAGCGGCGGAGGAGATGCCGATGTTGACCACACCACGAGTTTCGCGAAGCCCAAGTCACTCGACCCGAAGACCATTAGTACGCAAACTGTTACTGGTATTGACCCAAGTGATAAGCCATACGCTGTATTCACTTTTATGTACCGTGGTGAACGTGAGTATTCTCGACATCACTCTCGATGGGAATTCTTTCTAATTTTACATGAACATAGGCCAATTGCAGAAGATGGGTATCCTGAAAGATCCCAAGGTGCAAGAGACGCCTGCTGCCACGAAGCGCAAGTCCATACAAGCTGATTTCGCAAACCTCGGCCCTATCAAGCCTGGGGGCTCCGTTGGATTCCTTAATTTCCGGGACAACGAAGCCAAGCCGCGGAAGGGCAAGAAGAGTGTCGATGAAATGGACAGTGATGACGACGACACCGACAATCCCATACTTGGCAAGGCAGACGATGAAGAAGCCAAGGATGACGATCGGTTCTTGTCTCCCGATGACATTCAACGCCAAGGAGAGCTGGCGGAAAGCCTGCGGAAGATTCGGGTAGGTACAATCGTAACATTCCATTTGTGCTTTATTAACAATCACACAGCTCAAGCGTCAACACTCCGCCGAACCACCTGGAGCCAGTGTCGGTGACTCTGCCGATACGCCGGCTTCCGGATCCGGATCCACGCCCCCCGCAAACGAGCGCTCAGCAACACCACCAAAAGCTGCCGCGACTGGATCTGCAGGTGCGCCCTGCGAGCCATCTCAGCCAGCTGCTGAACCAGAAGATGGCCTTTTCGGTAGCCCGCTAAAGAAACAGCGCGCGAGTGTTTCTACTGCAGATGAGAATGCCCTCAGACGCCGGATCGCAGAGTCGTCCGGTAGAATTAATGAAGTTCTGGGCTCTTCCGCTCCAGCGGAATCATCTTCGACCAGCCCGAAGATATTCGCAGATGGGTTCAGTCTTACACCTGATCTTTCTGCTGGACCCCCAGCAACCGATGAGGAGTTGTAAGCTTGCAATTATCGAAAATAGTTTACTTCTAGGTGGTCGGATCTCGAGATCCCGTTTGAGCCATTGGGCCTGACAGGCTACTACTCTTCGCTTTGGAAAGCACCGGGTCATTTTTGCTGTGATCCTACGGATCGATTAGGATTTTGCGGAATCCTCATTGCCATTTAACGGATCCTCTGGACAGTCATATGTACCGCTTTTCTACAATTACGCCGTTATGTCCACTACCTACAATACAGGGAACATGTTGAAGGAGAAATACATTTGCTGCACCGATCAGGGCGGCTTGATCATTATTTTAAATCCAGAAATAAGCGTAGGTGGAGAGACGTAGTTATATATAATGTAACCCCAATATTCTAAAGGATCCCGGGGTCTATCTGACTACGTTTGTCAAGCATTGGCTGAAACGGCTTAAAACCCGATAAGCTTCTAAACCCTGAAGGCTATAGCTGAGACAAATATACCCCTATTTTAAACGTATCAGCTACACATCCATGTTCAGAAGTATCTTTCTACCTGCATCTGCATTACGCAGTGTTCTGGCCCAGCCCGGCTTTCTCCACCAAGTGAGAGACATTCTGCCGAGCACCCAATTGCACCTCAAATCATTAACAGCTTCAATAGTCCAGAATAGCCCCCATCCGCCACAAATTCACCATGCCACTCCAACGTTCAACAGATCCTTTGGTCTGGATCGACTGTGAGGTACGTCCAGACACCCTATCTCCGATATCCAAAACCCTCCCACAATGTGTTTCGCACCACTAACTCCCCGCCAGATGACAGGCCTAAACCCGGAAACCGACAAGATCCTCCAGATCTGCTGTTTCATCACAGATGCCCAATTAAACCTCCTTGAACCGACCGGCTTCGAAACCGTCATCCATGTCCCAGACTCCACCCTCGACGCGATGTCGCAGTGGTGCATCGACACACACGGCCGCACGGGCCTCACCGCCGCCGTGCGCGCCTCGACCACCTCCCCCTCCACCGCCGCCGACTCTCTCCTCGCCTACATCCGCCAGCATGTCCCAGTCCCGCGCACTGCCCTCCTCGCGGGTAATAGTGTTCACGCCGATAAGGCCTTCCTTGCTTGTGCGCCGTACTCACAGGTGCTAGATCATCTGCATTATCGCATTCTGGACGTTAGTTCGTTGAAGGAGGCGGCGCGGAGGTGGGGAAGTGATCAGATGCTTGAGCAGGTGCCCCCTAAGCGGGAGGTTCATCTTGCTAGGGATGATATTCTCGAAAGTATTGAGGAGATGCGGTTTTACAAGGATAAGCTGTTTGGGTGATGTGGCGGATATTGTGGCTTGCTTGTCTCTATTACTCTGAGACATGGGTCTAAGAGCTATTTTTAAAACTCTGCTTGTTGAAATCGACCCTGACTACATTTCATTTTCTTCCTAAGGTAAGAAGAGATCATCAATATACACTCCCTGTATGTACAATATACTTCGGAAGAATGTTGTACCAAAAGACATTATTTGGATTTCCCCCGCGGGAATGATCTGCGGGGGTAATTTGAAAGAGGTACCTTGACAGATAACTAACTTGTAAATTGGACTGAATAGAACAAATCAGAGAGCCCTTAAGCTGCATGAAGTGTAGGGAGTCCAGACATATATATTTAAATTAAATCGAATGTGGCAAAGTACGTTATACACAAGAGTTACTAGTTAACTAGTGGAATGATAAACACATGACGCCAAACATTGGCCCCTCACCCGTGGAGCTCAACAAGTCGGTGAACTTCTCTCTCGAACTTCTTCCCCTTTCCTTCTTCTTTTCTCCTTACTAAATTTTCCCCTCCAATCTTATTCCATCATGTCTGTCCAGACGGTCTCCATCCAGTCCTTCACTGACCAGAAGCCTGGAACGTACGTTGCTCATTGCCCCGCAATTGAACTGCCAGCTAACTTGCTCCCAGCTCCGGCCTTCGCAAGAAGGTCAAGGTCTTCCAACAGGCCAACTACTCCGAATCTTTCATTACTAGTATTCTTCTATCAATCCCTGAGGGTGTTGAGGGTTCCTTCCTCGTCATTGGTGGCGATGGCCGTTACTACAACCCCGAGGTCATCTCCAAGATCGCAAAGATCAGTGCCGCCTATGGTGTGAAGAAGCTCCTGGTTGGACAGCATGGCATTATGAGTACCCCGGCTGCTAGCAACCTCATTCGTGTGAGGAAGGCAACTGGTGGTATCCTCTTGACTGCCAGTCACAACCCCGGTGGTAAGTGATTGTCAGGAGTATATAACACAATCTGTTGAATACTGACCAAACATTCCCAGGTCCCGAGAATGACTTTGGTATCAAGTACAACTTGGCCAATGGTGCCCCCGCTCCCGAAGGTGTTACCAACAAGATTTTCGAGACCGCGAAGACCCTCACCTCCTACAAATACCTCGATGTTCCCGATGTCGATACCTCCACCATCGGCATCAAGAACTACGGCCCCCTCGAGGTTGAGATCGTCCACTCTACCGCCGACTACGTGACCATGATGAAGGAGATCTTCGATTTCGATTTGATCAAGGAGTTCCTCAGCTCCCACAAGGACTTCAAGGTCCTGTTCGACGGCATGCACGGTGTGACCGGACCCTACGGCGTGGATATCTTCGTCAAGGAGCTCGGTCTGCCCACCAGCAGCACAATGAACTGCCAGCCCAAGCCGGACTTTGGCGGCGGTCACCCCGATCCCAACCTCGTGTACGCCCACGAGCTCGTTGAGGCCGTCGACGCCAACGGCGTGCACTTCGGTGCCGCCAGTGATGGTGACGGTGACCGTAACATGATCTACGGTGCCAACAGCTTCGTGTGCCCCCGGTGATAGCTTGGCCATCATCGCCCACCACGCCAAGCTCATCCCCTACTTCCAGAAGCAGGGTGTATACGGCTTGGCCCGCTCAATGCCCACCTCCGGAGCCGTAGACCGCGTGGCCAAGGCCCAGGGTCTGCAGAGCTACGAGGTGCCCACCGGCTGGAAGTTCTTCTGCAACCTGTTCGACGAGAAGAAGATGTCGATCTGTGGTGAGGAGAGCTTCGGCACTGGCAGCAACCACATCCGCGAGAAGGACGGCCTGTGGGCCGTCGTGGCCTGGTTGAACATCATTGCCGGTGTTGCCAAGCAGAAGCCCAACGAGACCCCCAGCATTGGCTCCATCCAGAACGAGTTCTGGCAGACCTACGGCCGCACCTTCTTCACCCGCTACGACTACGAGAACGTCGACAGCGAGGGCGCCAACAAGGTCGTCAGCACTCTGTCCGACTTGGTCGCCAACCGCGACACCTTCGTTGGTTCGGAAATCGCTGGCCGCAAGGTCGTCGACGCTGGCAACTTCTCTTACACTGACCTCGACGGTAGCGTCTCTAAGAACCAGGGCCTGTACGCCAAGTTCGATGATGGCAGCCGCATTGTCGTTCGTCTTTCCGGCACCGGCAGCAGCGGTGCCACTATCCGTTTGTACGTTGAGCGCTACGAGGCCGACAAGTCCAAGTTCGGTCTCACTGCTCAGGAGTACCTGGCTGATAACATCTCGCTGGCCCTCTCTTTGCTCAAGTTCAAGGAGTATGTTGGCCGCGAGGAGCCTGATGTTAAGACCTAAGTTTGCTTAAGTTGTTAGGGTTAATGTGGAACCTGCTGGATGGGGATCACCTTTTAATTGTTTTGCAGTTCTATCTGAACGCGAGAAGAATGATGATCGAAAAGCAGGATCAAGATTAAAAGATTATACTTTGGCATGAAGTAGAAACTGCATCTTTATCATAATGCGAGCCTGTCTTGTCTTAAATTCAGACCTCCAGATCTGTGAAGCTAATGAAGTATATGCATTATTGTCTTCTATACCATATCTCAAACAAGGAGAAGTGAACACAGAAATTATTATAATATCGTATCATCGTATCATCGTAAATCATTAACCAGTTCCATATCATTATGCCTTCCACGCAGCAGCAGAAACACTCAACTTCTCCCCCACCAACTCTCCCATTTAACAACCTTCTCCTCCCTCCTCGCCTCCTCAGCCGCAAAAACAACAGCATGACTCCGCACCGCCTCCTCAAGCGAACACCCAACAAACCTCGTTTGCGCTGTCTCAACATCCAATCCCCCTCAACAGCCTCAACGGCACTAACAAACTGCCTCGCAAGCCCAAAGTCCCCACCACCATGCGACTCATTCTGTCCCGGCGGCGGCTTCGGTACATCAAAAACAGCAGTCTTCGCCGTAGCAAAATCATAAACAGAAATCGTTCTACTATCATATGAAATCTCACCAGTAGTACCATATACCCGGCCCCGACGTTCGCACTGTTTCTCCGTGGGTGCAATCATATGGAAACTCGCCGTTTTAGCAAGTCGATGCGGCGCCGCCTCCTCATCATCCCAAACAAGAGTCACAACCTGATCGTCGCAGACGTCATTATCAGCTTCGTAGACGCACCGCCCGTACCAAGGTCGCGAAGCGATATCCGAGTCCAACACCGTATCCCGGTCATAGTCTTCGGCGAGACGGGAGAGGAGCAGCGACTCGGCAGCCTTGCCGCCTTGCGCACGGAACACATCTTCGATATCCGGACAGACGATATCAACCGGCCAAGCTGTGTGACCTGTCGCGAGGTGGCGGTCGTTATATATCTTAACCGCGCTGTAGTTACAGTCACGTTCAGCGGGGCAGGAGAGACAGTTTGTTGCGTTGCCTGCAGCGACAGGCTTGCGCTTTTGGCGGAACTGTGTCATCGTTCCGGCAGAGGAGATCGAGCGCGGGAAGTGCGGGTGCTGGGCTTGTTTGGATGCTTTTTCGGCGGAGGGCGGGGAGCAGAGGAGCCAGAGGATGAAGTCGATGTCGTGGCAGGATTTTGTCAGGAGGGAGCCGTCGCCTGCTGATGTTGCACGTCGCCAGTTGCCTCGGACGTAGCTGTGCGAGAAGTGCCACCAGCCTACTGGCTCGCAGTGTTCTAGGGAGACTATATCACCGATTACGCGGTCTGTCAGGAGGAGCTTGCGGAGGAGGATGTTGTGCGGGCTGTAGCGGAGGACGTGACCGATTGAGAAGATCTTCTTTGGGGCTTGCGGGGTGTTGTTTGGGCCTTCGGGTGGTTGGAGGGCTCGGTATACTGTTAAACAGTCGTCCAGCGAGAGAGCTAGTGGCTTCTCGCAGAGGATGTGTAGCTGGAGCGGGGCGAGAGCTTGTAGTATCTCGACGTGTGTTTCGTCTAGTGTGCATATGAAGACTCCGTCTACACCCAGGGGAGTTGTGATTGTGTCTGCTGTGTTTTCGTCGTTTTGAGTCGCCCGCTTCCGTCGTTCGAGTTCCCACTGCACCCATTCGCGCCAATCGGTGAATTCCTGGCCCTCTTGGGGGGATTCCTGTGCACCCCATATATATTTTCTTCCAAAATCGCGCCGTTTGAATGCGTGGGGCTCGGCAATTGCGTGGATTACACCCGGTGTTACGGTTGTGACGGCGCGGGCGTAGGCGTTTCCCCGAGAGCCGGCGCCGATGATAAGAAATCGTAACTGCTTCAATGACGAGAAGGAGGAGCTGGGGATAGTATCCCGAGGAGGTAGGTTTGGTTCTTTCATGTTGGCTTATGTTGAAAAGTATTGGGATGCGGGGGATAAATTGGAGCTTTGGAGCTTCCAAAATTTGGGTCTAGCGATATGACGAGTAATTGATGGACTTTTTTTCTTTTTTGTTCTGACAAAGGCCTGTTATTTTGTTAGAACCAAGCGAAGAGTAGAGATATATATACACAACCAAAAGAAGTTGGAGATATGAGAAGTTGCAATGAGTTGGGCTATTGTAACTGCGGGGGAAGGTAACATCAGCAACATCAGCCAGGTTTTGATTGGCCACTCCGGTCACTATAGTATGTTGTACATATATGTATGGTCTAGTATGGATATATTTGTCTTCGGTCTATCTTGTCTCTGTCTTTTTACTCTCTCCCTCCAATTTCTTTTCCTTGTCGAAAATCATAGCAACCTCTTCCAAAGACCGCCCTTTTGTCTCGGGGAACAGGAAGTATATAAGAATCAAGAAGACTACCAGACAACCGAGAAAGACACAGTAATACTTCCATGCAATCGCCGTGAACGCCACTGGGTTGACATATTGGTTGAAGAAACATGCCACAGCATCCACCGACAGTGTGACAGCAATACCCTTGGCACGCAGTTGGAAGGGTAGGATCTCAGCTGGATACGAGACGAACAAAGGCGCATAAGCGATATCGTATGCGCCAAAAAAGAGAAATAGGAGTGGAACTACGGCTATGCCTGCAGCAGGGAGATTTCTTTCGGCAAATAATCCAGCGGCTAGTGTGGACATGGACAGGAAGACGATCATGGCCACCGTGGAAATAAGCCATAGAATGCGGCGGCCGTATCGCTCCGATGCAAGTGCACCGGCTGCCGCAAGGAGGAAGTTCCAGGCATTGAGGCTGACGTTCACAGCTGCTTGGTCCGATGCCTTGGTAATTCCCACTGACCCGAGAATCGGCACGAGGTAGTATGACAGGAGACCTGCGATACTGTTAGCAACGGGGGGGCTTCTTCAAGGCGTTGAGGGACATACCATTTCCAGCCCATTCCTGCATAAGCCCAACTAACACACAGATGGCCAATCTATGCATATTACCTCTGGATGAGAAGAAGGAACTCCATTTTGTGGTATTGGTCTTCTCGGCTGTGATCGTGTTGCATATCAAACGGTACTCATACTGGACTAGCTCGTCGTTTGTTTCTCCATTCGCGTGGTACTCCCCCAGGATAGCTAGGGCTTCGTTTTTCCGGCCTTTGGATACGAGCCATCTCGGGCTTTCGGGCACAAACATGAGCAACCCTAGAATCTGAAACAACGGATAAGACATCTGTAGCAGACAAGGAACTCTCCACGACCAACTGTTTGTTACGCCGATGGTTGCATACGTGATAGCTGCCGAACCAATGGCGCCCAAACACCAGGATGCATTATAGAGTGCCGTGGCCGTTTGTCTCTGCCGAGGGTGTGCGATCTCGGTTGCCAGGAGAGGAGCCGCAGTCTGGGCAATGCCCATCCCTATGCCTGACAACACTCTCGTGCCAAAAAATGCCCAGTTGTTTTTCACTGCGGTCTGAATGATAGCTCCCACGATCACAATGCTGGATCCAACAAAAACACACATCTTGCGTCCAAATGTATCGGCAATATAAGAGGCTGGTGCGAAGGAAACCAACGCCCCCAGAGAAGTGGCAGCAATTATCAGACCAACTATATTGGGATCCAGTCCGCCAATGACGGCACCAACTATTTCATCATTAGCATAAACCTCACAGTATCAGGATGGAGACATTACACTCGGGCAGCACAAGTAAGCTATTCACCAGATTTCCAATATAACCAGCCGAACAAGAAGTAGAGAACATGAACACAATACCCATGTTTAGTTTACGGAGCCCCCTATCTTTAATCCAATTCGGATTTGTGTTGTTGGGTAGGAACTTGAAGGCCTCCATCGGGGGCTCCTTGGCCATTGTATCCGTCTTTGTCGCCATATAGTGTGCTTTGTCAGACATCGAGCTGTCTGGTTAAAGTAAAGTCGAATTGTATAAACCCAGAACTTTATTGTACTATACGGGATAGCTTATATCCTAAAAGTATACAGAACAAGGGATCGTCTACATTCTTCCGACCCAACAAACCTCTAGCCTTCCCTAGATGATCTTCGGATAGTTCCAGGATAACCGGTGGCTACAGCTTGAATGCTCGGAATGAAGGGAGGAATGCAAGATCCAATGATCCAAACAGGAAATTTAACCAGCACAAAGGTCCCACCATCTCTGACCACCTCTTCAAATCACCCAGGACCCCATGATCTGCAGTCCAAAAGAAGATCTCTAAGAAATCACGCACCACCACAGTGACGTGAGACAAGATTTCATTCATCACACTCCCCAAGCAGAGAAGCATACCGATTCCCAAGCCCACAAAACCCTTCACACTGCCCACCAACCTCCCTTCCCTTATGCAACACCTCCTCCATGCCCCACGCAACACGTTCCGCGCCCACCCTTGCGCCCTCGAGATTCGGCGCCCCGGGACCAAGCCGGAGAGCCGCCATCCGACCCGTCATGAATAATGGTACGTCATCCCGCCACGACAGATCGTTCGTTAGACATGGCAGACCTGACTTGACCTCGATTGGGTATTGATCGTTCATTTCCCGGAGTAGTGGCATCTCGCGGACGTCTGCCCGAACTCCGGTTGCGAAATAGATGTAGTCCATTTCGGGAAGCTCGGGGATCGGTGGGTCAGTTGTTAGGGTCCAGGTTTGTTTAGCTGGATTGTACTCGTGGGTTTTTATTTCTGTGCAAGGGTGGATGGAGGCGCGGTTCTTAGCTGCGTGCTGCTTTACAATCTTCGTGTAGCGTGGTGTAATGCTACCGCCGTTGCGAGCGGTTTGGAGTTTCTCAAGGCGCTCTAGGACATATTAGTGTTGGTCTTAGATTGGGATTTGAGGCTTTTTCTTTTTATACATACCTTCGTCGGTGTCGGCGGACCAGAAAGCTGCTTTCTCCCAGTTCTTGTACTTACCCATCCAGGGCAGACTAATATCGAAGTGTTTGACTGTTGTTTAAATGAGACATTGTCCAAAAACGATCTTCTTGCTAGGGACGTTATACATACCCTTCATGCCGGACCGTAACAGAAACCACACCTTTGTCACGCCCTTGCGAACCGCCATATCGACAATCTGCGCTGACGATAGACCACCTCCAACAACGACAACATTGGTCTCTTGCCGCCGCCGGATCTTATTCTGGACATTCGGACTGGGAAATGATTTGATCTCCGTACTGTGGCAACATGCTGCGGCACCCTCTTGCTCCGTCGAGGGTTTCCACGGATAAATCTTCGACACACCTGCTCCGCCAGGACCGATGGCCAGGACAACAGACTTACTATAAAACTTCTCTCCCGTAGATGTGGTGACAGTAAACACCTTCGAGTCTGAGCTATCGGAGAGATAATTATAAGAAAGATCCGTGGCCTCGCGCTGCAAGATCTGACCGGGCTCGTCCAGACCATACCGCTCGATAATCGACGAACAATAATCCGAAAAGAGGTCGGTGGAAGGAGAGAAGTAATCCTTCCGGTCTCGTTCGTCAATCTCAGCTCCGATAGTTCTGTTTACGATGTAATGGTTAGAGCTCTGCTTCAACCCTATTCGCATGGGGGACATCACTTACTGAGTTTTCCCACCCTGTCTCCTCTTCTTCTTCTTATGCTTGCTCATCTCCTTCCCAACACATCCGGAAATTTCCCATAGATCTGCATCCCGGCCACTCTCCTGGGTATAAGCCAGCATACCATCCCGATCCCCAGGATCAACATGGAAAAACATCGGGCTGCGGAGCTGTTTAATTTCCAGCGTGCGGAACGCATTATTCCACCGCTGCATCCATTTATCGCCGGAGCCGTCGAGAACGAGGGTTGATATAGATGATGTCGATGATGTTGACGATGTCGATGATGCAGAAGACAGCGACGGCACAGAAGATGCAGAGTCAGTTGAGGTGCGCCGTTCCCGGTCTTCTGGGCATGGGCATCCGCGTTCACTGTCCCATTTTGCGGCTCGCACGCCTTTGATCTTGCCGTGTCGCCCTTGCACCAGACTCATCCGTCCGCTGTGTTTCCTGATCCAGTGGTAGCGCTGGTGTTCTTCGTCAGTGAAGACTGCTGATGGCGTTTCTTCGCTTAGGCGTGCGGCGACGGCGAGGCCGCATGGTCCTGCGCCTATGATTATCACATCGCGGATTTCATAGTCTTCTGGTAATTCTTGAGAGGAGGACATCTTAGAAGGGTGAGGTAGGGTTGGAGTAACGGTGGGTGGTATATATGTAGTGGATGTAGTAGTCTTTCAGGGCTGGCAGGAATAGCAAAATTTGCAAGAACGTACGATTCTAGGAGCAATGGCTTTATTTTGTAGTCTACTAGTATAACTGTATTTCTACAATGTCCTCATAAATTGACTATCGAGGTACTCGTCCCCAAGGTCCTTGGGGCATGGTAGCATATAGGAACAGCTCACGCTCCACAATTACCATGACGGATTTGACGGGGTATTGGCGTCGATCTCTGAGGACCTTCGGGGTGTTTTCTTGTCGTTTTGGATTCAATATTTGAGCCTTTCCGATGTACTGTCGTGTGTTAGATGTATAGATATAGGTGTCGATTTCCTCGCCATTTCCTTACGCGGGATACCACCTCCTTCGCGAATCCCCAGCTTTCCAAACAGAATAATATACTTGACAGTGGGATTTTTGAAGTCATCCCGTTGACCATACATGTTATTGATCTTGACTGCCCTGACGGCTGTATTCGTTCTAGCAAATGCCCAATATGTGCGTGTACTACCATCGGCATTGGTATTTGTTGCACGGGAATTCAGACACTCTCGATCAGTGCACATAGGCTCATTTAATTAGGGATGGTCTGGCTAGATAATTCAAGACTAGAAAGAAGAAAGAAGGCACGCGAGTAGATAGGGTAAGAGATTGAATTAAGCTTGGACTTTGAGTGAGCTCGGGCACATTCCAAGATACCTCCACAATGGATTCATAGATGACAGCCCATTTTGATACGCATTTGGATAGATCAGCCATTGATTGGGTAGCCAAATGGAAAGACTTGGTTAAGCCTGGTTTAGAAGATTAGAGCCTTTCTACCCCTTCTCTCATAGACAACATAGAAAATACAGAAAAGAAGAAAAGAAGAAAAGAAGAAAAGAAGAAAGAAATTAGATTACTATGAAAGAGGATATTTTCAAAGGGGAATATGGGGAATAACAAAGCACAAAACAGCCACCAAAAAGAAAAAGAAATCAGCAAAAGAAACCAACCGAAATATAGTCAAGACTCCAAACCTCCAAACCCCATAAAAAACCAAAAAACCACCTCCAAGCCTGCGCCTACACAAAACACTTATTTATGCCATTTCTTCGTCTTCGTCCCAGCCTTCGCTCTAGACACACCCCCCTCCCTCCGATGCCAAGGATCCAAAGGCCAAACCCAACCTCTCACCCTCTTAGCATCCCTCTTCTCCCCAATCTGCGGCTCAGGAATCCACTTATCCTTCGCCTCCGCCAGAATCCTCTGACGAGTCAACGCACCAGGCCCACCAACATTAAGGTGAGCCGAAGGCTGTTGCGGAAGCGGCACGGACTTCGAAAGCATCAACAAAAAGTACAACCCCAGCCCGGCCGTCATAGCCGGCAATGCATCCTCCGCCGGCTCCGGGTCCGAGGAGTCATGACGCGAGGGAAACGACGAGCTCGACGATGACGAGAAAGAGCGCGCGCTGATGGGCGTTGCGAGTGGTGCGTCGCGCGCATGTGGATACGCGCCCCTCGCAGCTGCCGTCTTGAGCGGGATTGACGCCGCGATCTCAAGGTACCCGAAGTAAGGGACGTCGTCGTCTGTGTCGCAGCCGGCTCGCACGCAGACGAGCTCGATCTCGGTGATTATGAAGCCGTAGCGGCAGGAGTGTTCGCGCATGCACCGCTGCAGGTGGGCGAGTCCGTTGAGGTACTCTACGCGTCTGTGGGGGGCTTCGTTGCGCATGCCGGTATTCCAGCGGTCGAAGCTTTTCACGATGCCGACTAGTCGGCCGCGGGGGAGACCGGCGTTTGTTTGCTCGGTGTCTGAGAGGTAGTTTGCTAGGAAGTGAGGGTGGCCGTGGTTTTTATGGCCTGTGTTGCGGACGTCTGGGGCCGCGTAGAGTTGGAGATGGTCTTTGCCTTGGGAGACGGCTAGGGCGGCGTTGATGCGTGGTGCGTAGAGATCGCGGATTAGGCTCACTAGGTCGTGCTCGGATTCGGGTGCTAGGCTTGCTGGGGGTACGGCCACGCGCGGTGTGAGCTCTGCTGGGATGTCGGTCTTTAGGAGCTGGATTAGTCGGCTGTCCAGGGAGTCGAATGTTGCTAGTGAGAAGGAGCTCCAGCTGCGCAGGTTGCGGATGTCCCACCAGAAGTAATCATGTAGGCCGCGAGTTGGAACCACGCTTACGTTGCGGACTAGGTTGATTGGTTGGATTGGTAGTCTTAGATAGGACAGTAGGGTTGTGGACCTTGGGGCTAGGTCTTCCTGGGGACTGAGTAACGCTGGTGAATGCTGGGCAGCCGATGCCTGGCGGTAGTTGTATTGAGGTGTCGGCACTGTCAATGGAGTTTGTGTGCTTGCAGGAACATGCTGCCCCGCTAGTCTTTGAGAGTATGATGGGTAGGACATGATGCTTGGAGTCATTGGGGTGACTGGAGTAGTCGGGGTCGTCTGAGTATGCATTTGAGGCACATATTTTGACAGCTCCCGGTAGGTGGGATACCCAAACCGAGTCAAAGTTGCAGCGTCGATAACAGATGCCGACACGGAGCGTGAGTGTCCCCCGCCTGTCTTGCGCTTGTAAGAAGAGGTAATGGTCACGGGTGATGACAAGGCAGGGAAGCTGCCTGGTGCAGTCATTGGCGCCGGCGAGATGGGAGAAGTCAATGTTAAGCGGTCCGTGACATCGCGTGTGCGACGGCCGGTTGCTGACCGCGGCGGTGGGTAAGGGATGAATCCAGGAGGCGGGTTCCGTGTATTAGACAGAACACGACGGTGACGAAGAGGCCCACCAGCAGACAGTGGCTCAATCACGACGTCTTGAGGTCGGATCTTAGGCAATAGCTTGGGTCCATGATGATGTCTAGTTGGTGACGTGGTAGGGCTAGTATTCCCGGTCATTGTCGACCAGGGAGATGACTCGCTTGAATAGACCGAAGAGTTGGAGGCATGACGACTATGCCCAGAGCCGATGTACTCCTCAAGAGAAAGACGCGGCGGCGTGGTTGGCCGAAAGCGAGCAGTATCGACAGCAGACATGATAGCAAAGTTGTTGATTTGGTGTGCCACCAATAACAATCTATCAGAAGAGTAACAAGTGAATGAAGGAACTAATATCTTGTTGACCAAGTCGTTCACAAAGGCATGATCCAGAAGGAGGATGTTTGGATATTAAATGGACATCGACAGAGTCTCAAACAGCCAAGCATGATGCATATAAAAAGATTGACTGACGAACCCTAGCCGATCTAGAAAAGATGAAACATGGAGAAGAGCCCCATTGTAACGCCTATGGAGCTTGAGAATCTTTTTTTGGGATCCTAGTCTCCGATCAGAGGCACGTCCAGTCGATGAAACGCGAAACTGCCGACATTGTGCCTGAAGACAGGCATGTTGAGCAACAAGGCCCTTGAAACTGCCCCTCCGAGGGGGTCCAGTGCGGCATAGTGCGGTTTCATCGGACTGTCGCGCGTCAAGATGTTACTATATTTTGCCTCTTCTTCAATATCATTCTTCAGATTCCCCAAAATGGTTAGCCTGCTGCAAGATTCTTGACATGTTCTAAAAACGGCAACAATTAGGTCACATTTCTAGTTAATTAGCGGACTTGTTGGTGATTCTCCCTGCTTCAGGACTCGCGGGGTTCAGCGGTTAAGGGTTCCAAGAAAGCAGACGGTTAAAAATAGGCATCAGGGTCATGGAATGAGTGATTCCAGGGTCTAAACGGGGTAAAAAGACCGTTTGAAAGGAGGGTTACCTGCTCTAGATGCGCCAACCGAATGTGATATCGAAGTCGGCGGCTACATGTATGGGATGAGTTTGAAGTACGCGCCGAACACCGGCGTCAGATGCAGTGATTGGATGATCTGATCTTGAAACTGAGAAATGTCCCATAATTAGCAACAATTAATGCAGTTGATGGAGGAGTTCATGCGAGATACATACATTCTAAAGTATCTCGAAAGAGGTTTGAGGTCAAATCGGGATGATCCACACATAACCGCGCATTGACCCCTGGGGGTGTTTCAATGTTATGTAGTGTACATTTGTAGTTAACTAGTTATGTAGTTATGTAGTTAATATCGACTCTTTAGGTATGGAGTATCATCTCATTAATTGTCTTTTAATTATTTCATGACATTCATTGCACGTGGGAAATACCCAACCGAAAAGAGTAAAAAGAAAAAATAAAATAAAATAAATCAAAAAAAGAAAGGCCGAAAAAGAGGCCTTCCTGTGGTCTATGCACCTTGGCAAAACATTCAAAACGCTCGGGGGAATCTCTCTGAACCGTCTAAACAACACATCGAACGGCAAAGGCAATCGCAGAACATCAAAGAAACTTTAAGCCTTGATCTCGTACTTGCGGCGGAACATGTCATCGACCTCAGTCAGGTAGTAGACACCAGATCCGATAGTCTCGGTGTTACCAGTGGGCTTGAAGTCCTTCTTGAGGTGGGCGTGCTCACGGAGCTTGCACATGGCATCATACTGAGCAGGCTCAAGGATAGTGCGGGCATTGAGGCGGTTCTGGAGGTCAAGCTTCTCAACCATGTTGGAGACGTCGCCAACAATCTTGGCACTGAACATGGAGCTAGCAAGACCGGAACCGTAGCTGAAGAGACCGATGCGCTTAGACTCCTTGGGGTCGAAAGCGACGTTGCTGAGCAGACTGGCCAAACCGCCGTAAACGGTGGCAGTGTACATGTTACCACACTGGGTGGCGACCTGGAGACCGGGGTTGACACGCTCGGCGAAACGCTTCTTGGTCAGACCCATGAAGGTCTTCTCCACAACCTTGTCGGTAAGAGACGTCTCGTAGTCCAAGTCGCGGAGCTCGGGGGCCACCTCGGCGAAAGCGGGGTGGGAGGGGTTGGCCAGGAAATCATTGTAGAGCATACGAGCGTAGGACTTCTGGACGAGCTTGCAAGTAGGGGCGTGGAACAAGATGTAGTCGAAACGGTCCAGAGGGGAC